GGGCTGCTTGGCGCTTGTCCGCGACACCTCTGCGGACAAGCTCTCACCTCGCGGCGTCCCCTGTGTCTTCCTTGGTTTCCCTGAGGCCTCCTCTGACTTCACCTTTTACCACCCTCCCTCCCACCGGTTCTTTGACTCTCGTGACGTCAGTTTCGACGAGTCCGTCCCCTACTACGTCCGGTACCCCTGTCGAGGTCTCCCGGTTCCCCCCCCTCCCCTCTTCCTCGCCCCAGCTCCTCCTCCTCCCGCTCCCTCTCCTCCGGTACCCCCCCCCCCGGTTCCCGCTCCGTCAGGTGTGTCACAGGCTACCCCCCCTCCCTCGGTACCCCCCCAGGTCTCTCCTCCTTCCCCACAGTCGTCCTCACACCTTCCGCAGCAGCCGTCGGCGCTTCCTCTCCCGGCCACTGCGGACTCTGAGGGTGTTGGTGCTCGAGGTGAGGGCTCTGGCGGTGCCGGTTCTGGGGGTGTTGGAGTTGGAGCTGAGCGTGCACCTGCCGCAGCTGCACGTCCCGAGCGTGTTGGAGTCGGTGGTGGTGCTGGAGCTGGTGGTGTTTCTGGAGCCGGAGAGTCTAGGGCTGGTGCTGGTGCCACTGGCGGCGCCACGACTGGGGGTGCGGGTACACCTCCTACAGGTACTGGTCGTGCTGCCGCAGGGGGTCCTCGCTCTGGGGGTGCTCAGCCGGGTCCTGTCGAGGGTGGAGCCGGTTCTTCTTCGTCGTCTCCTGACACCACTCCTCCTCCTCACCCCTACCCGACTCGTTACCAGGCCCTTCTTCGTCTAGAGCGTGAGGAGCAGCAGCGTTTGGAGCGTGAGAGGTCGGAGGTTCAGCAGCGGGTGGAGCGTGAGCGGTTGGAGTTTCAACAGCAGCAGCAGCAGCAGCAGCAGCAGCAGCCGCAGCCACAGCCGCAGCAGCAGCAGCAGCAGCCGCCGCCGCAGCAGCCGGAGCAGCCTCCGGCCCCTGTTTCTGGCCTTCGGGCCCTTGGTCTCCCCTCCTCTCCTCCTGTGTTCGGTCCTACGTTTCCTCCTCCGGACTCCACTCCGGCTGTCTTCCCTCGTTCTCAGTCTCCTCCGTCCCCCCCTCCTCTCGCCCACACTTGGGCCTCTCGTCCTCCTCGTGCTCGTCCCTCGTCCCCTGTCACTGACCTCCGTACCGTGTTGTTTCGTCCTAGTCCTCCTCGTTCTCCTCCGTCTGTCCTTCCTCGTCCTCCTGAGTCTTCCCTCACTGCCTCCCTGTCCACTCCGGTCACTGACTACTACCGCACGTACCGCCCCACTCTCTCTCGTGTTCTCGCCTCTCTTGTTACAGACCCTCGTGCCTCTCCTTCCTCCGTCGCGGTCCTCACTGCCGCTGTCACTGACTTTACTGCTACGCGTCGCCTTGACTACGCCACTCGTGTTGTGGCCGCTCCTCCTGTCCGTCCTCTGTCCGCCGGGGGTGTGTCTGCCCTTGGCTGTGACGTCCTAGAGGACAGACAGTTTGAGCTAGAGTTCCTGGCAGCTGCTTCGCCTCATCTCTGTGCCATGCTGCTCACTCCTGAGGGAGACCCCGACGCTCCTGACATACCTACTCCTCGCACTTACGCTGAGGCAGTGTCAGGGCCTTGGGCCTCTCAGTGGAGAGCTGCCATGGACGCAGAGATGGCCTCCTACAGGTCCACAGGCACTTACGTTGACGAGGTTCCCCCCCCAGGGGCGAACATTGTTGACGGCATGTGGATCTTCAAGGTGAAGCGGCCGCCGGGATCTCCCCCAGTCTTCAAGGCACGCTACGTGGCTAGAGGGTTCAGTCAGCGCGAGGGGGTTGACTTCTTTCAGACCTTCGCGCCCACCCCGAAGATGACCACTCTTCGGGTGTTACTGCACGTAGCAGCGCAGAGAGACTACGAGCTACACTCTCTTGACTTCTCCACTGCCTTCCTCCAGGGCCGCCTACACGAGGAGATCTGGCTGCGTCGTCCTCCGGGCTTCACTGGCACTTTCCCGCCTGGGACCCAGTGGAGCCTCAGACGACCGGTCTACGGTCTCCGCCAGGCACCCCGTGAGTGGCACGACACTCTCCGCTCTACTCTCTCCGACCTCGGGTTTGAGCCGTCTTCCGCCGACCCGTCGCTGTTTGTTCGTCGTGGCCGTACACCTTTCTTCGTCCTGGTCTACGTTGACGAATTGGTTTTTGCCACGGCCGACACAGCTGCACTGGCAGAGGTGAAGTCCGAACTGCAGAAGAGACACACCTGCACTGACCTTGGGGAACTGCGCCGCTACCTTGGCCTGCAGATCTCCAGGGACAGAGCCGCTCGCACCATCACTCGGACTCAGTCACACATGGTGCAGCAGGTCCTTCAGCGGTTCGGGCTTCAGGACTCTTCTCCTGCACCCACCCCTCTTGCTGTAGACCACAGACTCACTGGGCCTTTTCCTGACGAGCCGTTCGAGCCTAGTGGTCCCTACGCAGAGCTGGTGGGCTGCCTCATGTACCTGATGACGTGCACTCGCCCGGACCTCGCCTTCCCTCTTAGCATCCTGTCTCGCTTTGTTGCGACTGGGAGACACCGTCCTGTTCACTGGGCGGCGGCTAAGAGGGTGGCGAAGTACCTTGGCGCGACATCAGGCATGGGGCTTGTACTTGGAGGGACACAGCCAGTTGTACTCACCGGTCACTATGACTCTTCCTACGCCGACGACGTTGAGACTCAGAGGTCTACGCAGGGTTACTGTTTCAGCCTGGGTTCTGGAGCTGTTTCGTGGAGGTCTACTCGGTCCTCCTCTGTTGCGACTTCTACCGCAGAGGCCGAGATCTACGCTGGGGCCCTTGCTGCTCAGGAGCTACGCTGGTTGACCTTTTTGCTCACTGACCTTGGTGAGCGGCCGAGCTCTGCACCGACCCTGTTTGCTGACAACAAGGCGATGATTCTCCTGTGTCGTGAGCCTCGACTGGAGAGCAGAGTGAAGCACATCGACGTCAGGTACTTCCTCCTTCGAGAGTTGCAGAGACGCGGGCAGGCTCGTCTGGACTTTGTGGCCTCCGAGGCCAACACTGCAGACATCTTCACCAAGGCCCTCCAGCCTTGTGACCACCGCCGGTTTTGTCTGCAGTTAGGCCTCGTTGAGACTGGGTCTAGTTGACTGCTGTAGGGTGCTCTTTGTCTGTTGCTTGCTTGTACCTTATATATATTTGTTTGCACACTTTTGGACTGGCCTTGTGGCCCTTTGCTTGTGCTCAGATTAGGTGGTGACGTTGTGATCCACCCTGAGCTTTGTTTTCTTTCTCTTGCTTTTGACTGGTCTTGTGACCGTAGGTTGCTTGTTGTTGATTGGCCTTCCCCACTTAGGCTATGGGGGTGTGTCAAATATTATAGCCTGTAGTGGGTTGGGCTATATGGGGTACAACTAGTTAGGGTTAGGTTATGTACCCCAATTCTGTCAATGCAACACATTCCGCTGTAGTTCTCATTCCGACACCTACAGTCATCTTGACAGTCCCTCTTTTCGGCCACTCTTGAAAACATCTAGACCTCCCATGAATGCACCGTTCGTTTATTTTAGCATCGATCCCGTCTTCATCTCAGTTGTTCTGCGCCCTTAGCTCTCCTTTTCCCCACTGCCAGTGTTTATCTCGTCGACCCTACGTCAAAGGCAGCAAAACCATGTCGACGACGACCCCGCAGCTGGCTGGAAACATTCGCAAAGGGGGATACATTGGAATTGCGGGACGGCCTTGCAAGGTATGCAATGAGCGCATTGCAAGCTCGATCAGGAGCTGTCAGTTTGCACGCTTCCACTTGTCCACTCTTTCCCGCAAAGGTAGCTTGGCAGTTTATGTTTCGTGTTTTTATTATTTTATTTTATTAGTTTTTTTTTTCCTTATTTTACGGTCGGAATTCCACAGGTGGTGGAGGTTTCCACCTCTCTTACTACCAACGGTCGCAAAATGTGCAATTTTGTCGCAACTGATATATTCACCAGTGAGACGCTGACAGATTCTGTGCCGGCTGTTCTCAACGTCGAGGTGGGTTCATTTGTATTAACAGTCTTCGCTGGTCGTGCCTATATTTGAGTTTTCTCATAAACGGGTTTTTAATTCGCAGGTTCCATTAGTGGTCAAAGACGAATATCAAATCCTAGGCTTGTCCGGGGAAGACAGGGTAAGCGTCAATAGTTTCTTGTCATGTCGTGTTGTTCCTCGGCTTTTGTTTGCGGCGTCCTGAAAGTGGCGGCATGTTTGCCTCAGGTCTCCCTAATGACTGCTGCGGGTGACGCCAGGGACGATCTTTACCTTCCCTCCAAAGAGCCTCTCCGCTCACAGGTACGATATCTTTCCTCTGGACACCGAGTAGTCTATTTTGCACCTTGTGCTTCGTGGCGCGCGTGATCTCGCCTTGTGCTTCATGACTCACGTGGTTCCACCTTGGGGTTCCCTTGCAGATCAAGGCCGCCTGTGAAGGAGGCAACGAGCTTATGGCTGTTGTGATACGCGCTATGGATTTGGAGGAAAATATGCGATGTTAAAGCCCGAGACTAGAATGACAGATTTTCAAAAATTACTGAACCTGAACAGTTACTAGCGAGTTTTAGCGAGTAATGATTTCATGATACGTCCTGGTACATTTTATTCCCAAGGCAATTGCAGTGCAACTCATTTGTTGTTGATGCTAATGACTTGGAGTGAACGATGTTCTTGCATGACTTAGGGTACATTACTGTCAGAATGAGGAATGAATGATCCATTGATGTTGGTTGGGGTACATATAGCTAACCCTAAGTTTTGTACCCCCTAAGACAAACCTCACTATAGGCTACAACATTTGACACACCCCCATAGCCTAAGTGAGGGGTGTCTAGCAGAACCAAACGAGTACGGTCACAAGACCAGTCCAAGAAACGAAGCTCAGGGTGGATCACAACGTCACCACACAGTCTGAGCACAAACAACAGTGGCCACAAGGCCAGTCCAAGAAGTAACAGAGGTATATAGAAAGCAAAGTAAACAGTACACTCAAGTCTAAGCAACACGAGAACCAGTGTCAACAAGGCCTAACTGCACACAGCACCTCTGGTGGTCACAAGGCGGAAGCGCCTTGGTGAAGATGTCTGCAGTGTTGGCCTCGGACTCCACAAACTCAAAGCGAGCCTGTCCACGCCTCTGCAACTCTCGCAGAAGAAAGTACCTGACGTGAATGTGCTTCACTCTGCTCTCCAGTCGTGGCTCTCGACAAAGGAGAATAGACGCCTTGTTGTCAGTGAACAAGGTCGGTGCAGAGCTCGGCCGCTCACCAAGGTCGGTGAGCAAGAAGGTCAACCAACGCAGCTCCTGTGCCGCCATGGCACCAGCGTAGATCTCAGCCTCAGCTGTAGAGGTCGAGACCGAAGAGGAGCGCGTGGACCGCCAGGAAACAGCTCCAGAACCCAGGCTGAAACAGTACCCCTGAGTAGACCTGTGAGTCTCAGCGTCGTCAGCGTAAGAGGAGTCACAGTGACCAGTAAGTACGACAGACTGCTGCCCTCCAAGAACTAGCCCCACGCCTGACGTCGTCGCTAGGTACTTCGCCACCCTCACAGCTGCTGTCCAGTGAACAGGACGGTGTCTCCCTGGCGCAACAAAGCGCGCAAGAACGCTGAGAGGGAAGGCGAGGTCCGGGCGAGTACAAGTCATCAGGTACATGAGGCAACCCACAAGCTCTGCGTAGGGACCACTAGGCTCGAACGGCTCGTCAGGAAAGGGTCCAGTGAGTCTGTGGTCAACAGCAAGAGGTGTGCGCTGTACTGTGGAGTGCTGAAGCCCGAACCGCTGAAGGACCTGCTGCACCATGTGCGACTGTGAAAGTGTAATGGTGCGAGCAGCTCTGTCCCTGGTGATCTGCAGGCCAAGGTAGTGGCGCAGCTCACCAAGATCAGTGCAGGTGTGTCTCTTCTGCAGTTCGGACTTCACGTGTGCCAAAGCAACCCTGTCAGGGGTGGCGAAAACAAGGTCGTCAACGTAGACCAGAACAAAGAAAGGTGTGGGGCCACGACGAACGAACAGCGACGGGTCAGCAGAAGACGGCTGGAACCCAAGGTCAGACAGGGTAGAACGCAGGGTGTCGTGCCACTCACGAGGAGCCTGACGAAGTCCGTAAACCGGTCGCCTCAGCCTCCACTGGGTCCCAGGAGGGAAAGAGCCAGTGAAGGCAGAGGGACGACGCAACCAGACCTCCTCGTGAAGACTGCCCTGAAGGAAAGCAGTAGAGAAGTCGAGAGAGTGTAACTCGTAGTCTCTCTGTGCTGCTACGTGTAGTAACACCCGAAGAGTGGTCATCTTCGGGGTGGGCGCGAAGGTCTGAAAGAAGTCAACTCCCTCGCGCTGACTGAAACCTCTAGCCACGTAGCGCGCCTTGAAGACCGGAGGAGATCCCGGTGGCCGCTTCACCCTGTAGATCCACATGCCGTCGACTACGTTCGCCCCCGGAGGGGGAACCTCATCGACGTAGGTGCCTGTGGATCTGTAGGAGGCCATCTCTGCGTCCATGGCAGCTCTCCACTGAGAGGCCCAAGGCCCTGACACTGCCTCAGCATAAGTGCGAGGAGTCGGAATGTCAAGGGCGTCGGGGTCACCCTCAGGGGCGAGGAGCATGGCACAGAGATGAGGGGAAGCGGCCGCCAGGAACTCTAGCTCAAACTGCCTGTCCTCTAGGGCGTCACTGCCAAGGGCAGACACACCCCCGACGGCCAGAGGACTGGAAGGAGGAGCAGCCACAAGAGCGGTGGCGAAGTCAAGGCGGCGGGTAGAGGCAAACTCAGTGACTGCGGCAGTAAGAGCGGACACAGAGGACACAGAGGCACGAGGGTGGGTAACAAGAGAGGCGAGAACACGAGAGAGAACAGGACGGTACGTGCGGTAGTAGTCAGTGACAGGAGAAGGAAGCGACACAGTGAGGGCCGACTCAGGAGGAGACGGAAGCACAGACGGAGACGGACGAGGTGGACGAGAACAAAGGAAGGCTGTACGAAGGTCAGTGAAGGGAACAGGAGACGAGGGACGAGCACGAGGGGAGCGACGAGAGGCCCAAGTCTGAGAAGGAGGAGGAGACAACGAAGACTGAGAACGAGGGAAAACAGCGGGAGAGGGGTCAGGAGGAGGAAGCGGAGGACCAGAGACGGGAGGAGAGGGGGAGGAGGAAGGAGAGGGAGACGGGAGACCAAGGGTCCGAAGACCCGAGACAGGAGGAGGAGACGGCAGCAGCTGCTGCTGCTGCTGCTGCGGCTGCTGCTGCTCCTGCTGCTGTCGCTCCTGCTCCTCGAGCCGCTGCAACTCTCTCTCCTCTCTCTCCAACTCCAGCTGCTCCTCACGAGCACGGCGAACACGAGCCTGGAACCTGGTCGGGTAGGGGTGGGGGGAAGGAGTAGTGTCCGGGGCAGCGGCAGCCCCAGAGTCGACCTCCGAAGCACCAAGCACACCACCCCCAGAGGCAGCACCAACACCAGCTCCAGACCCAGGCTCTCCAGAAACCGAAGGGACACCCTCACCCCCAGACGCAGCACCCCCAGACTCCGCACCAGCACCCCCAGACTCCGCACGACCAGTACCAGCCCCCGGAAGACAAGAGTCCTCTGCAACCCGCGGCTCAGCTCCAACTCCAGCACCCCCAGAACCAGAGACCTGTACAGGGACAGTCGCAGGACCAACCTCTCGAGAGGGAGCACCTGCAGGAGGCGGCGAGGAAGACTGTGGGGAGGGAGGCTGTACAGGGGGGGCTACCGAAGGGGGAGGGCTAGCCTGAGACACACCAGACGGGGCTGGACCAGGGGGGGAGGCTGTACCGGGGGAGCAGGCGGGGGAGCGGCGGTCAGGAAGAGAGGGGGGGGAGGGACCGGGAGACCTCGACTGGGGTACCTGACGTAGTAGGGGGTGGACTCCTCGAAACGGACGTCACGGGAGTCAAAGAACCGGTGAGAGGGAGGGTGGTAAAAGGTGAAGTCAGAGGAGTCCTCAGGGAAACCAAGGAAGACACAAGGAACGGCGCGAGGCGAGAGCTTGTCCGCGGAGGTGTCGCGGACAAGAGCCAAGCACCCCCAGACACGAAACCTCGACGCGACACCAGGGGACCCTGTCCAAAGACTGGTCGGTGAAGCCTCCGGCCGAGAGACGCGTGGCCAGAGGTTCAGCTGGTGCGCGGCGTACCTGACCGCGTATGGCCACAGGAAATGGGGGGCACGGGCGTGAGTCAAGGAGGTGCGGGCAATCTCCATGACCAAGCCTATGCGACGCTCAGCAACCCCATTCTGCTGTGGGGACTCCGGAAGCGTCCAGGACTGACGAATGCCCTGTTCGCGACAGAATCCAGCGAGAATGCCGGAGCGAAACTCGCCCCCGCGGTCGGAGTGGAGACAGCTGACAGGAGCAAGACGCAGCGACTGGACTGGACGCGACAACCTGAGGGGACGGAACCACCTGGTGAGACGCAGGGAGGAGACTAGGGGGAGGGACAGGAACTGGGAGGAGTGGCTGCTGCGACGGCGGCCGCTGTGGCTGCGGCTGCGGCTGCTGCCGCTGCGGCTGCTGCTGCTGCTGCTGCTGCTGCGGCTGCTGCTGCTGCTGCAGTCGCTGCTGAGCGCGCGGGCCAGTGTGAAGAGTGTAGAGACCGGAGCCCGGCTCAGCAGCAAAAGTGGCGAGGGGCTGGTAAGAGTCCCCGTCAACACACACCGCAGTCTCTCCAGAAGGCTCAAACCACACACCCACGTGCTGACTCACGAGGGGTCGCACGCCCACCAAGTTCCGGGAGAACGAGGGGACGTGAAACCCAGTGAGAGACCCAGAAGGAGCAGCCGGACACGGCAAGGTGGTAGTGTGACGCGCAGTGACTGGTCCCGAAGTGGGATCAGCCAGCGCCACAGAAACAGGCGCAGGAAGAGGCGTAAGTGTCGTGCTGTCACGAAAGAAGCAGTGAGAAGCTCCAGAGTCCAGCGTGAACGACAGCGAACCGTCCTCTGAGGTAGCCGCTGGACTAGAGTCTACACAAGAACCTACACTAGCAACAGGCAACTGAGCAAGGCTAGCACCTAAGCTAACAACACCAGAGTAAGCAGAGTCAGAAACACTAGAGTCAACAACAGCATACATAGCATGGGGAGTACCAATCAGATCAACTAACTGCTCAGCAGACATGCCCCACAGAGCGGAGCCGTAGCGCTGAACAAGAGGCAGCCAGTCAGGGGCAGGAGCACCAACCCCGTAGACCAAACGAACCGTGTCAGTGAGCTGAGCAAAGCACTGACCAGGGGGGTGAAACCGGCCACAAGGGTGGCCACGACGAGGGCCTGTCAGAACCTGGTAGGTGCAGGGAGTGTAAGCAGCACCGCGCTGGGTCTGACGCAGCCCCGACCCTGGAGCCAGCTGCTGCCGCTGCTGCTGCTGAGGCTGCTGGGAGGAGAGGGGCTGCTGGTGCTGCAGAAGCTGCTGCTGACGCTGAGCCTGGTACCACGCCGCTGCTCCACCAACCGGGGCAGGAAGTACAGGAGGCGACTGACGAACTCGGGCGTCGCCACTACCAGCAGGCGCAGTGGAGTCACCAGTCACTGCACGAGGCGCCTCTCCAGGCCCTGAACCTCCACCGCCGCCAGGCGCAACGCCACCTCCACTACCTCCGCCTCCACCTCCACTACCACCACCAGAACCGCCTTTCTTGCCACTCCTACCGCGGGACCGCGACGCAGTCGTAACAGCAGCTGCAGTCGCGTCAGTAGCGGCAGTGGCAAGTGAGGCAGTAAAGGTGGGTAACTGCGGGACTGTGCACCCGTGGAAGAGTGGGGGGGCACAGCACCAGAGGCAGCGGCTACCGAGCGAAGGTTGCTCTCGACGTCCTTGAGTGCAGACTCAAGGACCTCGACGGTGAGCTCACTAGGGTGCTTCAGCAGAAGCGCGTCGCGAACGGAGGCAAGGCGGTCAGGGAGGCTAGTGGCGATGAAATAGATAGTAATCGCCATAGGGGGAGGAAGCAGTGCAAGCTGTGCCTCAGTGCAAGCAGCGCGGTAACTAGCGTCGAGCGAGCGGAGGTGAGCGATCAAGTCAGCAGAGCGCTCAAAAGACGCTAGGTCAGGAAACAGGAACGGGAGGAACAGGCGGCCAAGAGAGACAGCAGCGGGAGTAGAGTAGCGGGCCTTAATCGCAGTGAGGTACGCAGCAGCGGTGCGAACCTGAGTGAAGTGAACCTCCTCAGACTCAGGGAGGAGGCTGCTGAGCGCGATGCAGGCCGCAGCGTCACGTGACGTCCAAGCCGTCTGGTCAGCTCGCTGAGTGGCAAAGCGGGCTCTAGCGGCGTCGTCAGGGGCAGGTCCTAAAGGCGTAGGGTCGGGGGGCGCAGGTAGGGCACCAGTAGCGTGCGCCCAGAGGGTCTCGCCTGCCTGGACCTGACTCTCTAACAGGCGGCGAGCGCGAAGAAGCCAGACTGGGAAATCGAGCGGGCGACCGTCAGCATCGAAACGAAGGACGCGAGGGGTCGCCATAGTGTGCAAACGGAATTGGCAGGGAAAGCAGGGCGCAGCGGCAAGGGAGAACGGGCAGGAAGAGCGGGCGGGTAGGTCAGGTGTGGCGGGCGCGCGGGTAGGGCAAAGGCGCCGGGCCTGGGCGACGGGCTAGGGCGCGAGCCAGGGCGACGGGCTAGGGCGCGAGCTGGGGAGACGGGCTGGGGCGCGGGCCAGGGCGACGGATCGACGGGCAGCAGGGGGAAACGCGGGTCGACGGGCAGCGGGGGGAAGCGCGGGTCGACGGGCAGCGGGGGGAAGCGCGGGTCGACGGGCGGCGGGGGAAGCGCGGGTCGACGGGCAACGGGGGAAGCGCGGGTCGACGGGCAGCGGGGGGAAGCGCGGGTCGACGGGCAGCGGGGGGAAGCGCGGGTCGACGGGCAGCGGGGGGAAGCGCGGGTCGACGGGCAGCGGGGGGAAGCGCGGGTCGACGGGCAGCGGGGGGAAGGGGGGGGGGGGGGGGGGGAAGCGCGGTTCGACGGGGATCAGGGGGGGAAAGCGCAGCGCGACCGGCAGCGGTACGCTAGATCGGGCTACGCTAGATCGGGAGGAAGAACGAGCGGTAACGAACGAACGGGACTAGATCGGGCCGGCACTAGGCTCGGGCAAGACGGGCGAAACGAGAGCTAGGATCAGGCTCGGGTGGTACGATCGGAGAACGGAGAAACGGGATCCCACAGGATCCTAACCTAACTGATACCATGTCAGAATGAGGAATGAATGATCCATTGATGTTGGTTGGGGTACATATAGCTAACCCTAAGTTTTGTACCCCCTAAGACAAACCTCACTATAGGCTACAACATTTGACAATTACATTCCGCTGTGGACAGCGTCCCAATCGATGTGTCCCAATCGATTCTACCGCACTGCATCTTATTACACCGAATTACACCCTAGTTTCAAAATTTTCGCTTCTCTGGTTTAGTTCGGTTCGGAGCGGTACACCTGATTGGGACATGTACGATTGGGATACCGGTATGTCCAGCACTGTAATTGCAACAGCTTTTATTCATTCATGACCTAACTGTCAGATCACAAAAATGAGGAGGGCGTAACGACATGTCATACCAGCATGTGTAGGTCTATTCAATCCGTACCAGATCTGCCGGA